CCTGGCCCCATGACACCCGCCAAGGTGATACCCAGCCCAGACCCCTCCCTCCGAGGTGCTTTCCGGGCCCAGGCACACCCCACTCCCCCAGTACATAGCGCTCGTGGGTCTCATCTGGGAAGGGCAGTTTCCGGGAGAAACTCTGCGTGTAGACCTCCAGCCCTACTGACCGCATCGTCCGTTCAAGCCAGGCCACTGGTAGAGCCCTGCAGACACGAAGGGAGCCTCTGAGCAGCGCTCCCCGGCCTTAGCCACCACTGCTCGCCCCATACGCCCTGCTCTGCCGCTCACCCCGACTTCTTGCGGTGGGCAGCGAAGTCCCGTGCAAAAGCCCGGGCACGGTCTCCGCCCGCAAACTGCTCCTCCACCATGGTGGAGCCCATGGCGTTCTCCGACATGTAAGTGCGCTGGGTCAGCGGCGGGAAAACCAGCGCCAAGAACCAGGCGATGCCCGCCACGTAGCTCAGCACGCTGTGAGAGAGGACGGAGGGGCACCGGAGCGTCAGCGGGTCCTGAGACGCCGACCCGAGGCCACAGCCTCCGCACCGGGGTCGATCGCGCGGGTCTGAGACCTAAACCCGGAGTCCTGGCATCGGGACGCCGGACCGGAGGGCTGAGCCTGGGCCTGATACCCTCAGTGCTTCCAGAGGGCAGCAGCGGAAGGGCGCGAGCAGCCGGAGGGGAGCGAGCAGCCGGAGCGGCCCCGGCCCTCGATGGGCACCGCGCAAGGGCCGCCGCCAGCGCGAGTTCCAGGGCTTTCGGGTCCCCGCCTCCCCGGGTCCTGTTCTCACCACAGCGGCGCGTTGAGGCGCAGCACGAGGCGGGCGAGCGCGCGCCGGCGAACGGGGTCCGACAGGAGGCCCATGGCGGGGCAGGGCGGCGCGGCGACAGACCCTCTGCCGCCTCCGGACCCTCTGCCGCCTCCAACTACCGCCGCGGTGCCCGCAAGCTGCTCCTGTCAGACCCGGGGACCGCGCTCGCCCGCACTTCCGGTCCCAGCGGCACCCGCGACGGCGCGCATGTCCGGAGCACAGGACGCGCCCCCAGCACCGCGTACTGCCGGCGGCGCGCAAGCCCAGACAGCGGCTGGCTGCAGGGTGGGCGGTGCTGGTGAAGCCGGAAGGACGCGAGCGGGTTGGGAGTCCGCTAGGCGCTGCCCCCAGGAGAGTCGGACCCGCAGTGCACCGCCCCGGAGGGAGGCAGGTAGCCCTACAGCCGGAGGAGAGCAGAGAAGATGCCCGACAGCAGGCCGAGCTGGTCGGGGCAGCGAGATACCGCCCACTGGAAGGCCCGCAGGAGTCAGAGGTGATGAGCCGGGCAGTATCGCGGGAAACCCACCCCCGATATTCGACGTGGGTCCTTTTCTATTTTCCCTAAGTGGGGCTGGTCTGAGAAATAAAGCGAAAGAGTACAAAAGAGAGAAATTTTAAAGCTGGGTGTCCGGGGGAGACATCACACATGTCGGCAGGTTCCGTGATGCCCCCCAGCCATAAAACCAGCAAGTTTTTATTAGCAATTTTCAAAAGGGAGGGAGTGTACGAATAGGGTGTGGGTCACAGAGATCACATGCTTCAAGGGCGACAAAAGATCACAAAGCAGAAGGCCATGGCGAAACTAGAATCACTAATGAATTTCCATGTCCGGCTGTGCACGCATTGTCAGGGTTCAAGAGCAGAGAACCGGTCTGACTAGAATTCGCCAGGCTGGAACTTCCTAATCCTAGCAAGCCTGGGGGAGCTGCAGGAAACTAGGGCACTTCATCCCCATCTACATCTGCATAAGGCAGACACCCCCAGAGTGGCCATTTCAGAGGCCTCCCCTAGGAATGCATTCTTTTCCCCCAGGGCTGTTAATTATTAATATTCCTTACTGGGGAAAGAATTCAGCGATACTTCTCTTACCCGTTTTCAGTAACAAGAGAAATATGGCTCTGTCCTGCCTGGCCCAAAGGCAGCCAGACTTTAAGGTTATCTCCCTTGTTCCCCAAGATCGCTGTTACCCTGTTCTTTTTTCAAGGTGCCCAGATTTCATATTGTTTAAACACACATGCCTTAAACGAACAATCTGTGCGGTTAACGCAATCATCACAGGGTCATGAGCTGACATACATCCTCAGCTTATGAAGATGATGGGATTAAGAGATTAAAGACAGGCATAGGAAATCACAAGAGTATTGATTGGGGAAGGGATAAATGTCCATGAAATCTTTTTTTTTTTTTTGAGACGGAGTCTCACTCTGTCGCCCAGGCTGGAGTGCAGTGGTGCAATCTCAGCTCACTGCAAGCTCCGCCTCCCGGGTTTACGCCATTCTCCTGACTCAGCCTCCCAAGTAGCTGGGACTACAGGCACCCGCCACCTCGCCCGGCTAGTTTTTGTATTTTTTTTTAGTAGAGACGGAGTTTCACCGTGTTAGCCAGGATGGTCTCGATCTCCTGACCTCATGATCCACCCGTCTTGGTCTCCCAAAGTGCTGGGATTACAGGCTTGAGCCACCGCGCCTGGCCGTCCATGAAATCTTTACAATTTATGTTCTGTCATGGCTTTAGCGGGTACCTCTGTTCGGGGTCCCTGACTTCCCACAACAGGGCAGGTGGGTGGAAAGCCGGCGGTGGTCAGAGAATGGATGCCAAGCGAGACTGCCAATGACTCAGGACGTCCCAGTGGAGTCACAGCATGAGCCCAGCACCGAGGTTTTCTGAGTCAGATGACCGCAGAGATGCTGATAGCACTACTGGCCAAAATGGGCTTCACTAGAGCTGGGGTGTGTGCAGTATAAAGTAGGGGAGCATACTGTCCCTGTCCAGGCCAAGAGATCCTTGGAATATTAGGGGAGCAGCAGCCCCAGGGTCCACACTGCAGGGGCTGGTAGTCAGGGCTCCGGCAGGTCTGTGGGCCAGAGGTGAATGAAGGGGTAGTTTGCTCAAGAAGAGGATGCACTTTGGGAAGGTGAGGTGGGAGGATCCTTTGAGACCAGCCTGGACAACAAAATGAGACCCAGTCTCTACACACAAAAAAATTATTTTTAAATTAGCCAGGTAGGTGGGACATGCCTGTAGTCTTAGTTCAGGAGGCCAAAGTGGGAGGATCACTTGAGCCTAGGAGATTGAGACTGCAGTGAGCCGTGATCACACCACTGCACTCCAGCCTGAGCACAGAGCAAGACTATGTCTCAACAAATAAATAGTGGTGGGCAGAGAGAAGGGTCAAAACTGAAGACTCCATGTGAGAACAATTTTTTTTTTTTTTTTTTTTGAGACAGAGTCTTGCTGTCATCCAGGCTGGAGTGCAGTGGTGCTATCTTGGCTAACTGTGACCTTCATCTCTGGTTCAAGTGATTCTCCTGCCCCAGCCTCCCTAGTAGCTGGGACTACAAGTACCTGCCACCACACTAATTTTTGTATTAGTAGAGATGGGGTTTCACCATGTTGGCCAGGCTGGTCTCGAACTCCTGACCTCAAGTGATCCATGAGAACAGGTAATTTTTGTACTTTTATTTTTTTTAGATGGAGTCTTGCTCTGTCGCCCAGGCTGGAGTGCAGTGGCACGATCTCGGCTCACTGCAACCTCCGCCTCCCCGGTTCAAGAGATTCTCCTGCCTCAGCCTCCTGAGTAACTCAGATTACAGGCATGTGCCACCACCCCCAGCTAATTTTGTATTTTTCGTAGAGACAGGGTTTCACCATGTTGGATGAAAGGAGCTGGGCACATTCCTCAGCCCCGGGCTGAAACTCCCTGAGCCCAGTACAAACACATCCCATCCTCCCATCCCACCACATATCGCCATATATCTCTCAAACTCCCTGAGCCCAGTACAAACACATCCCATCCTCCCATCCCACCACATATCGCCATATATCTCTCAAACTCCCTGAGCCCAGTACAGACACCACCTGGAAGGCCGGGCGCGGTGGCTCAAGCCTGTAATCCCAGCACTTTGGGAGGCCGAGACGGGCGGATCACGAGGTCAGGAGATCGAGACCATCCTGGCTAACACGGTGAAACCCCGTCTCTACTAAAAATACAAAAAACTAGCCGGGCGTGGCGGCGGGCGCCTGTAGTCCCAGCTACTCGGAGGCTGAGGCAGGAGAATGGCGTGAACCTGGGAGGCGGAGCTTGCAGTGAGCCGAGATCGCGCCACTGCACTCCAGCCTGGGTGACACAGCGCGAGACTCTGTCTCAAAAAAAAAAAACAAAAAAAACACCACCTGGAAAGTCTCCGATAAGGAGACGGCCGTTCAAGGTTTTACTGAAAGCGCGGGAGCCAAAAGAATTCCTTTGTTCCCCTGTAACTCTCGGGCTATAGAAAGCAAACGCTCGCATTGTTCGGGGCCCTCTTGTATACTGTGGAATGGAGGGACCAGGTTCGAACTTGTAGTAAAGATCCTTGCCGCTTGGCTTTGACTCTGGACTCTGGTGGTCTTCTTTGGGGAACAAACAGTCTGGGCATAACATTGGCCAGGATGGTCTCAAATTCCTGACCTGAAGCAATCCGCCTGCCTCAGCCTCCCAAAGTTCTGGGATTACAGGTGTGAGCCACCATGCCTGGCTGTTGTATTTTTTAGCAAGGTAAGCAGCAGGAAAAGCCCAAGGGGCTCCAGGCCATAGTCCAGAGGCCATGGGACATGGCCCCCACATCTCTAGGTTGGGTACTCAGAGCCAGCTGAGTTCTCCCTCAGCCCTTTGCTCAGGGCCCCGGATGTGCCAGAGTAAGGGTAACAGATTCCTCAGTCCAATGGCCTGGCTCATCTTGCCAGGCCCTGCCTCCTGCTCAGCTGCCTTGAGTCCTTACTGGGACATGTTGCTTTTTCCACCCAGGACCTCCCCCACAGCCACCCCCTAATCCACTGTTCTCTTCAGGGTTTGAATTAGGCTACACAGAGATAGGCAGTTCATGTGTGGGCGAGGGGCCCTGGTCATCCCCAGGAGCCAGCACCAGACCAGGCTCTGCCAGGCTTCACATGGCTCTGAAGTGCTGTTGGGTGATTAACGTACAGTGAGGGTTGTGTGGGCAGAGGAGGGTTTTATTCTGGACATGGGTGGCTGGGTGGTCAGTCCCCCAGCAAGATAGAGGCCTCACGCACATGCTGCCTGACCACTCTGTCCAAGAGGGTGTGCACATCTCGAGCAGCCTGGGCAGCAGCCTCCAACACCCGCTCCAGGTGGTCCTCGTGCAGCCGGGCATCCATCTCAAGCAGCGCAATCTGTCCTGAGGCTGGCAGCAGGGCCAGGGCCAGCTGGGGGCCACCAGCTGCTTCCTCCACATGGCTGAGGTCTGCCAGGGCTGTGCCGTCCACAAAGCCAGCTGAGCACGCACACACAAAGTCTCTCATGGGTATCCCAGCATCCAGCACTGCCAGTGTGGCTGCATTCACACAAGCTGCATAGGTCCCACCATCTGCCTGTAGCACCTGCAGGGACCCCAGGGTGTGAGTCTATCAGACTCTCTCCCCAACCCCATCACACCCACCCCTCCCTGGATTGACGCTGCAGCCGGCTCACCTGCACATAGATATCAATCTGGGAACGTGGGTGCAGCTGTGTGAGGATGGCTGCCTCGAAAGTCTGGCGGAGCTGCAGGCCCATCTCACAGGACTTCCGGTCCCCATGTGGCCGTCGCTTGCGCTCACCTGTGCTGAAGGTCGCTGAACTATATTGACAGTTCACTAGGGCCCTGTCCGGCAGGGCTCGAGCCCGGGAACCCCGGATCTGGAAGAGGACGGACACATGAGCCAGGCCCACTCCTTCCAGCTCACACGCCACTGTCCTCTGTGGGTCTGCCTCTCCCTCCACTTCCAATGCCTCAGCAAGGGGCAACTACATTACCTCCAAAACAAAGCCCCCTGTTTTGCACTCTCTGTCTTGCATGTGTTGCCCTCTGGCATCTTTTAATTGGCTTCCTTGTGCCCATCCTTGCCCCATTCCCTGCCAACCCAAGTTTACAAACATCAAGGCTGATTCTGTCTCACCTTCACACTCAAATCCTAATTACCTTACAAAGGTTTCACATTACATATGAAATAAAATCCCAAATCATTTCCCTGGTCTACAAAACCCTAATTCCTCACCTCCCCGGGAACTCTCAACCTTATTTAGAATTATCCCCTCTTTCCCCACCAGCAGTCTTTCTGTTATGCATAAGTGCCTTGCTTGTTTTCACCACCGTGGTCTTCGCCCTCCTGGTTCCCTCCGCCTGGAAAGCAGAGCTCCTACCCTCATGCGCTAAACAAACACTCTTTCAATACCTTCGCTGGCCAGGCACAGTTACAGCGCTGGAAACACAGCAATGAAACCAGAGAGTTTTATGTAGTTTCTGTCCTTAGGAAGCTTATGTTCTAGCGAGGAAACAGGGGAAAATGCTTAAGCAAAATAGGCATTTGAGATTGTAGATGCACAAAAGACAAGGGTTTATTGTAGGGAGAGAAGTACCGCGTGGATAAAGCCGTCTGGGAAGGAGTGACGTCGGAGTAGAGCTGAGAGGAGAGGGAGCGAGTGGGGGAGTGCCTGGCACGTTGAAGAGCCGCAAAGAGGAGGGAGAGCGCAGGCACAGAGACCGATGAGAAAGGCAGGACCACCGCGCAGCACACTAAAGACTTGCGTTTACTCCGAGTGAGATGCAGTGCTGAGCATCGGCTGTGTAGACTGCAGGCGCGCCGGCCGCACCTCTCAAGTCCCCGAACCTGTGCTCAGCCCGGCTGCCCCGCAGATCCCGCGGTCACGCGATTCCCATCCCGCACGCCCACTCGCCTCGTGCGGGCCGTAGACCACCGCCAGCGCCTTGGTGTTGCCCTGCTCGATGTAGGCCGAGCCGTCAGCCTGCGCGAACACGCCCATCCGAGCCTGGATCTTGCGCAGCTCCCCGGCGCGCCGACCGTCCACCCGGTAGCCCTGGTCCGACAAGAGCTCCAGCCCCGCCATGCTGCCCGGCCGCCAGCTCCGCTCTCTGCCTAGTTCTCTGATCCGCGGGAGAACTACAGCGCCCTGCGGCTCCGACCTCCCCGAATCTACGGTTTCCGGCGGTCCGCTATCACTTCCGGTTCCGGGGAGCTACAGCTCCCCGCGGTCCCGACCTCCCTGGATCTACGGTTTCCGGCGGTCCGCTGTCACTTCCGGTCCCGGGGAACCGGAGTTCCTCGCGGCACCGACCTCCCTGGATCTACGGTTTCTGGCGGTTCGGCTTCACTTCTGTCTCCGGGGAACTGCGGTGGCGCTGTCGGGGAAGCAGCGGTTGAGCCCGCAGCCGTTCCCGGAGCTGTGCCACGGGTGCCAGGAGGTGGGCGCCCGCTGAAGGAGAAACTCCCGTCATGCCCTCGGGACCAGTGGTGCCTGCATTCAGTCCTTCCCCGCGCCCCAAGTGTGAAAGTGGAAGGATGAACCCAGTGGGTTGCGACACTGACAGGAGAAGGCATTGAGCTGTCCTAGAAAAGTGACCAGGCTGGTGTCCCAGGATGGTCCACACCTGGCACCTCTCCAGTCCTCTCATGCCCTCCCTTTACACCGAGCTTCCAGACTGCAGTCGAGTGGGCCTCCCTTTTCCCTTTGAGGATGCAGATTTCCTCATCCTTTCCTGAGAGGGGTTGTGTGTCTGTTTATCTCTTGCCACTTAACCTCAGCGGCTTCAAATAGCAATCATTCTATTATTATGTCCTGCAGTCTTGGGTTATCTAGGCTCAGCTAGGTAGTTTGCACGTAGGCTCTCTCCTACAGTTGCTGCCAGATGGTGGCTGGGGCTGGAGCCATCCTAAAGCTTTCTCTTTCACATCTTTGGTGGCTGATGCTGGTGGCTGGCCAGGACCTCATCTGTGGCTGTCAGGCAGCACACCTACCTGTGGCTTCTCCATGCTTCCTTGCAATATGGCAACTGGGTTCCAAGGGTAGCCTTCCAGGACAACAAGATGGACAACATGTGCATGATATTTTTAGGACCTAGCCTCAGAAGTCACATAGTGTCCCTCCTGCCAGACTCTGTGGGTCAAGGCAGTCAGACACATCTACCCAGGCTTAAGGGATGGGGACAGGGACCCCACCCTTCAGTGGGAGGAGTGTCAATATTAGACTGTAGGAACAGCAGATGGGCTGGGGAAATGCAGTCTGCTGCAGGGGCCCAAGTTCAGCATCGCCTCAGAGGTGGTTATGCTCTCCTGAAAGACTGAGAGGCATGAGAATGAGTGAGCAAGCCACAGCCCTGCTGCTGCAGCTGGTATGAGGCCATGATGGGTCACTATCCTCTGCCACTGGCCACCACCGATTCCCCACCCTTGGCTCTGCAGCCAGACACTGCGTACTGTGGAGCAGCCCAGGCCCTTCTCCCCTTGCAGTCTGAGCTCTTCCCGTCCCTGTTCTTACTGGGTCGTTTTGTTTGTTTGTTTTGTTTTTTTGAGATGGAGTCTCACTCTGTCACCCAGGCTGGAGTGCTGTGGCACAGTATCAGCGCACTGCTCCCTCCACCTCCTGGGTCCAAGTGATTCTTGTATCTCAGCCTCCCAAGTAGCTGGGAAGCTGGGATTACAGGCACCTGCCACTATGCCTGGGTAAGGTTTTTGGTGGTTTTTTTTTTTTTGGAGACGGAGTCTCACTGTCACCCAGGCTGGAGTGCAGAGGCATGATCTCAGCTCACTGCAACCTCCAGCTCCTGGGTTCAAGTGATTCTCCTACCTCCTAGCCTCCCAAGTAGCTGGGATTACAGGCATGCGCCACCATGCCCTGCTGACTTTTTTTTGTAGTTTTAGTAGAGATGGAGTTTCACCATGTTGACCAGGCTGGTCTTGAACTCCTGACCTCAGGTGATCCACCTGCCTCGGCCTCCTGCCACTGCACCTGGCCATTACTGGTTCGTTGTTTCGACTGTCCACTGACAGTCCTTGCCACATGCAGGAAGACTAGACATCCAGGGAGCTCTGTGGACTGCCCACCCTAGTTGTGTAGCAGTGACCATAGCAACTCAGGAAAATGAGGACGATGTTGGTATTCAGCCTAAGGAGCCCAAAGTAGGCCAGTGATAGCTGCTACTTCAAGATCAGTGGAACCTTTGCTGTGTTCCCTGGTGGAAGTATTTGCCTTCAGGAACTAGGCCTCCAACCTGGCAGCATTCCAGGTTTAGGATTATGGGGCCACTGCTACCTCACACCTTTGGTTCTCTGATCCTCGTACTCCAGCTTTAGGGTACACACATGGGTCGATTCAAATTTTGGAGGCCTAAAGCTTATACAAATTCAGGGGCCGTGAGAAGTATTCTCAAGATCCCTCCGGAATAATCAATTTGCTAGAAGGACTCACTATAGACTCACGGCTAAGTTTATTACACAGAGAAGATAATAAGTCTGAATCAGCAAAGAGAAAAGGTGCATGGGATGAATTCCACAGGAAATCAGGCGTGAGCTGGCCAAGTCCTCTCCTGGTGGACTCCACAGGAAGAAGCTGGAGCTGTGTGTGTGAAATGCTTCTGCCAGGGAAGCTTCTTAGACACTCAGCACCCTGGGGTTTTATGGAGGGAAGGTTACATACACAGTCTGTGCCAAGCATGTACCCAAATTCCAGACCCCCAGAAGCAACACAGGTGTTCAGCATGAGCCATGTTTGTACAAACAGTGTAGGCACAGTGAGACACGCTTTCCAGAGAATGGAGGGAACCATCCCAAAACCCAAATTCCCAGACACCAACTCTTCAAGCTTGCCTGTGAAGAGCTTCTCAGGCCTGCCGTTAACTCATCTACGCAGTCTTCTTTTGAAACATAAGACAAAATTATATATCCAAAACTAAGTGAATAGTGAGAAAAGAAGCCCCAACACAAACATTTTAAAAGCTGACAAATACCACAAACATCACAAAATGCAGAAAACCACAGGTTTCCCCTACATTTCTCTGATGCTCTCTTAAGATGACAACACTTTTTTTTTTTTTTGAGACGGAGTCTTGCTCTGTTGCCCAGGCTGGAGTGCAGTGGCGCGATCTCGGCTCACTGCAAGCTCCGCCTCCCGGGTTCACGCCATTCTCCTGCCTCAGCCTCCCAAGTAGCTGGGACTACAGGCGCCGCCACCACGCCCGGCTAATTTTTTTGTATTTTTAGTAGAGACGGCGTTTCATTGTGTTAGCCAGGATGGTCTCGATCTCCTGACCTCATGATCTGCCCGCCTCGGCCTCCCAAAGTGCTGGGATTACAGGCTTGAGCCACCGTGCCCGGACGACAACACTTTTTATAACGTAACCTCCTATTTTTATAACGTAACCTCCTATATGTAGAAAGAAGGTGGCAGATGCTGTAATTCCAACACTTTTGGGAGGCAGAGGCAGGTGGATCCCTTCAGTCTAGGAGTTCAAGATCAGCCTGGACAACATGGCAAAACCCCATCTCTACAAAAAATACAAAAAATTAGCTGGACATGGTGGTGCATACCTGTGGTCCCAGCTACTTGGGAGGCTGAGGTGGGAGGATCACTTCAGCTGGGGAGGTCAAGGCTGCAGTAAGCTGTGGTCCTACCACTGCACTCCAGCCTGGGCAACAGAATGAGATGCTGTCAAAACAAAAAACAAATAAACAAAAACCAAGAAAGTAAATGATTTAGCTTCTCCTTTCACATGTTTGATCAAAATTTAATTTTATTACTTATAGTTAAGTTACTTTCAGGTAAAAGCTCCTTTGGGTAATATGTACATTTTTAGAATTGTCATTAAATTTGAGGAAATTCCTTATCAAATTTTTTCCACATGTGAGCCATAACAGTTCAGGTGTTGGCTGGGTGAGGTAGCTCATCCCTGTAATCCCAACACTCTGGGAAACTGAGGCAGGAGGATCGCTTGAGGCCAGGTGTCCGAGACCAGCCTGGGCAGCATACGTTGGTAATATCCTACAAAAAAAAAAAAATTCTGCGGGCGCAAGGTGGCTCAAGCTGTGATCCCAGCACTTTGGAGGCCGAGGACGGCGGATACGAGGTCAGGAGATCGGAGCCCGTCCTGCCGCGACACGGTGACGGCCCCGATCTCTACTAAAAAATACAAAAAAATAGCCCGGCGATGGTGAGCCTTGTGGTCCAGCTACTGGCTGAGGGCAGGGATGAATGGCGTGGACCCAGGAGGCGGAGCTGTGCAGTGAGATCTGGCCGCACTGCACTCCAGCCTGCGGCAAGCAGAGCACAGACTCCGTCTCAAAAAAAAAAAAAAAAAAAAAAAAAAAAAAAAATTAAAAATTAGCTGGGCATGGTGGACGATGCCTGTAGTCCCAGCTACTTGAGAGACTAAGACGGGAGGTTGGCCTGAGCCGAGGGAGTTCAAGGCTGCTGTGAGCTATGATCGCTCCACTGCACTCCTGCCCGTACCACAGAGTGAGGCTCTATCTCAAAAAACAAACAAAAAAACCCAGAACCCTCCCCCCAAATAAAAATGAATTTGAGTTTGGGTTTTCTTGCTTGTGACTACTCTTAGATCCTCTTTGAGTTGAGGATGCATTCTCTGATGCTCTCTTAAGATGACAACACTTTTTTTTTTTTTTTTGAGACAGAGTCTTGCTCTGTTCCCCAGGCTGGAGTGCAGTGGCACAATCTCGGCTCACTGCAAGCTCCGCCTTGATGAAACTTGGCCAGTTTCATCAGCTTGTTGTGTTAACATGCAGCTGAGGGAGATAGATGGGTGTTTCTGGAAGCCATTTCTACACCAGCATGACTAGCGACAGCATAACTGTATCAGGAAGTGACTGTTCCCACCAAGCCCAAGCAAAACGTACCCTCAACTCAGCCTCCCAGGAGCTGGACCCCACAACGCCCCCTCCGGCTCTGTGCAGCAGGGGAGGGGGTAACTGATGGCAGGTTGCAGGGGGAAGAGACAGTTTTAGCTGGTTGTGGTTAAAATATCTCACTTTTGCAAATTTTATGAAATATATGACTTGACTCTGTAAATAGTTTGCTGGGGCCCAAGCTGGGAAGGGGCTGTGGGAGTGAGGATCCTGGAACGGATTTCCGAGATTCCTGGTGAACCTGTTTCTCGAGCTCCAACTTCTTAGGGCAGCACAGGCGCATCCTAGCAGAAGTGCCCCGCCCTGGAAGGGG